CAGTCGAAAATAATATTTTTCTCTCACATCAAAGCAGACAGCAGTAAATAATCTACGATACGATAGGGCCTCCCGAATAGGCTGGGCTCCAAGAAAAGTTGATTTGACCCAAGATTTGTTGTTTTCTGGCGGTCGGTCGGTTGGCGTGCCTCGTGCCGTCGTGCGTGCGTGCGTGCGCGTGGCTGCCAGCCTGCCACTGCCAAATGGAGAGAGATGGAGACGCAACCGCGAGCAGAGATAGAGAAAGGAAGGATTAGCAAGGAAACGGCCGTGCGTGCGTTTGAACGAAAGGGAAACAAACAGGTGGTTAAGAACCAAGGAAAGAGGAGGTTTTAGCCATTTAGGTAGCGGTGGTGGTGATCTAAACAATCTAGTAAAAAAAGAAAGAGCGCGTGGGGGTGGTTTGGAAACCGCCGGCCGGGTCGGCGACGACGGCGATGCGTGGCCGTGGTTGGTTGGTGACGACGGCGGGGGAGGGAGGACGTGCGTGCTTGTGGTTGCTACTCCCCTACCTTGGTCAACTCGAATCGAAGGAGAGCCTGAAACCAGCTGCCTGGGTGGGTCCCGCGCACTCGCTCCGATCGGATCCTGAGCTCCTGTCGTCACGCTGTCCCCTGCGACGGCCGCAACGGCTGCTTCGTGCGCGGCAATACGGAAATGCGCTGCAGCAGGTCTCTCACCATTCATCTCGCCTGACGCCTGCTGCTGCAGGGATCGACGACGTGCAGCTACCAGCTCGGTGCTCCATGATTAGTACAGCCGTAGCTGCTGCTGCCTGCCTGCACGCTCATCTTGGACCACAAGACCACCATGCCATGCATCTAGCATCCATGCTGCCACTCACTGTAGGTTACTTCTCCCTTTGACTTTACTGTTTGGTGGGTTACTAATACTGCTACACACCTTTTTTTTTATATACTAACTAACTACTATTTTTATAAATTATACTAACTAACTGGCAGGCGGTTGGTAGCTCAGAGCCTCTCTCGAGTACATGCTTCAAAGTGAGGTGAGGTGCTGATCATACAGCGTATGGGCTACACCAAATGACCATCATCGTCATCAGCATTAGAGCTGGAGGCCTTTGACAAGATCTTCGACTGCAACCTGACTGCGTTCAACGTCGAAGCATTGGATGCGCTCTTTCTGGACGGTGGCAAGGGCCCGTCTAGGTAGCCGCGAAGGCGCAATGCCACCTCTTAGGTCGCACCACTGCGTTGGTTTTGGTTGTTTTCCATTTATGTAATATCGAAACTAGAGGTCTTTTGCTAGGATGGTCCAGCTACGGCTGGTTTAGATCGACCTCCTGCGGCACTCGATAGAAACGCGTTGTCTGTATGTTTAAACTCTTCTACTTAATACAATGATACACAAAAATCTTTTACGTATTAGAGAAAAAAAATACTAACTAACTACTTGCTCACTACTCCCTCTATCCCCTTTAAGTGTTGTCTAGATTTTCGTGCTAAGTTTCACTACATTTATAGAAAAAACATGACATTTGTATCTCCAAATAAGTGTACTACAAAAAATTATAGTTAATCTAATGATATTTATTACGCACCATAAATAATAATAATATCTTGTATATATGTGTGTTGAGTATGTTAGACTCGTCAAAGAAGTCTAGCAAAACATTAACTTGTCTCTCATCTTATCTTATACTCTTGTAAAGCAAAAACCCACTAGCTATTTATCTCAATATGTAAGCTATCTAACTAGGCAATGTACTATCACATACAATTAAAATTCACTAGCACATGCAATTATAATGTCCACGTCAGCAAGACACATAAGCATTTTGTTGTCCACATCATCATACCACACAATCCACTAATCCATAATCCCCGCAGCAACGCGCAAAGTATGCTTCTAGTTAATTGGAGTTTGGTTGTCTAACTTAAGGCCCCATTTGGTACAACCATTCTTCACTCGTGGACAAGGTTTTTTTTATTTGGCTCCATGAGCAGCTTCAGCTACATATTATAGAAGTCATTGTGCATGAGATGATATTTAGAAGGCAAGCATGAATGTGGTTTAAAAGGCATACACGTATGGAATAGGTTAAGCAAAACTCAGAATACCTTATAATTTATGACAAATATTTAACCTTAAATATGTTTGCCCAGCGCAACGACCACTCTACTACCGACGATGTGTGTCGTTCCCTCATGCCCCGCTCAGGTGGCAACGGACTCACCTCCATCGCTCAGGCAAGGGCAGGGGCAGCCACATGTCACGGCGTCACGCCATCGCTCATCTTGGACCACAAGACCACCATGAATCAAATTCGCTCATCATATTTGAATCTGATGGGTCATGGTCCATGGCATGATACGTACGGCGGCCAATGCAATGCAAGGATCATTATTTGCGGTCAATGGATGCTGGATCGGTCCTGCGGATGTCTTAGCTAATCTCGGCCGTCTGATATACAAAATCAATAGATGACGATATAGAGTATCATCAGCTTATATTTATTCGGCAGTGCTACTAATAAGAAAGCAGGCGCGCATGAAACATGCATGCATGTATGTCATGCGTATATATATGTACCGAATCAAAAGACCTTGTTCACGCTAGTACCAAACAAAATGAGCTTTGTTATTTAAGCAATAAGTAAAGTGTTGTGGGATAAACGTACGTATTTCATCATTAGCAAAAAGTCATACAAAATATATTTTGACCACTAATTATTCCTCTTACAATGTGTTGTTATATATTTTGGTCTCAAGAGAGATTTGGAAGGAACGGAATGCAATATGCTTCGGGAACGCCGAATGGCAAGTCGAAAAACCTCTTCGGACGATCAATGCAAGCATGAAACCAAGCAATGGGTGGGTGCATGCTGGCGTGGTCAATCTAGGTTGCCTGTTTAGCGAGCAATAATGGTCTATTTGGATGGACTAGAACTAACAACTAGTCCTATTAGCTCCTATAAGTAAATTAGCGAACTGACAACTAGTCCATGATTAGTAAATTAATAATTAGTCCGCTTGTTTGGATACTTAGCGACTAAAAACTAGTCAATTGGTTGTTAGTTCTGTGGATCCAAACGTGGCCTCATAAAACCTAAACCATAGTGTTGGTGTCGTTGTCTCTTCCTAGATCGCTTAACCCGGTAGTATGTTTCTCCAGAGAAAGTGGTCGGGAGCGCTCGCTTTGGCAAACACGTTGTGTTGATATTGTAAACTCTTCTACGTTAATAAATGATGCATAAATGTTTTGTGTACTCAAGAAAAAAAAATTGATACCACCTCAGAGGCACTTTAAATAAAAATCTATTAATACAAGTCTGCTGTCCTAAATTTTCATGTACTTTAAATAATTATTTGTAAATATTTGATTTTTTTCCTGTAGAAAATATAATTATCAATTCAGGACAGAGTGATGCTTTCAGGCCCATGTACGTATTGGCCCAAATGAGCTCTTACGTTGGCTTGGTCGAGCTGGATACTCTTATCTGGGCCAGGACTCATCTTCTGGACTTCTTTCCTTACTTCCGCCCTGTGAGTACGTGACAGGACAAAGGCCTTGTTCGTTTTATAATCCGTACTTTTCAGTTTGTTTTTTCAATCGGAACAGTATTTTTCTCTCACAACAAATTAGCCGGAACAGTGTTTCAGCTTTTTCAGCGAATCGAACGGGGCCAAATTTGTTTGGTTCCACTTGTGTACGTCAAGATCCTATCCTATCTTGCACAACATCAGATCTGATCGAGATTGGGGAAAATAGGGCAGATGTACAAATTGTCTGCATATATACATGGACTTAGCGCCCGGACGTCAAGCATCGGACGGCTGCCGCGCGCGTAAGAAGCAACGGGGCTTTCGAGCAGCCCGCCCCCGTTCGTCGCCCCGCACGCGCACCCCGCCCTGTCCGTGCGCCCATCACTCACTGCGCCCCCATGACTCTCCGAACAATATCGCAACATGAAACACTTAAATGCAACATACGTCTAAAACAGATAAAACATTTAGAACATATATTTGTAACATATGTGTGAAACATATGCAACATTAAACACTTGCAACTTGCAACATGAAAAACTTGCTACAATATAAGATTGAAGATAGATGAAACATTTTCAACAAACGCTTGCAACATACCTCTGAAACACTTGCAACATGTGCAGCATCCCGATCTACTTTTGCAACATCCATATGAAAATTGGAAACATACCACTTAAACATCTGAAACATTTAAAACTTACATTTGTAACATAGCGGAGGGAGATGTCGGGCTTGTCAATTCCGGCCGTCGGAGTGGAAGCCGGCGGCGAGCGAGAACCACCAACACCGGTCGTGCTTGTGGGTGCGGCTCGGCCAGGGACGACCTGAGGCGCCATCGGCTAGGGGCGGCGGCAGCACCCCGCAGCAGCAAGACATCCCATCAACGCTGGGGTTGGGGAACAGGCTAGGGAGGTGATGTGATTTTACATAGACATGAAGGAGAGACACAAGATGGAAGGGGAGAAGATAAGTGTGAATAGCCATTTGAGGGGGAAGTATCAAAGTTTTCACGTGTGGTGAATACAATAGGTGAGACCACCTAGCGATGCGTTCGGAGGGACTCCCGGCGTCCGGACACTCTAATCATAGCATTACATCTGTTAAACTTTGGTTATGTGTCCAGTGCCTATTTATTTTGTATACAGAAGACAGATTACCAAGCAACAAAGGTCCAGAAATAAACATCATTTACAATACACTTAGCGTCATGACTCATAAGGGAAAAAGAACACTGGCCGCAAACGGACGTGAAATTGAGCATCCTCTATGTTGATGGCTAGAACAAAACTAAATTCCCACGACGTGAAGCTATACAAATCAAGATCTTGTTCCAACACTGGGCTTATTTTTCCTCACAGAACAAGCTCCTGTATATCGGCAAGGATACACGCACGCACACCACTCGTGCAGTAAGTTTCATCCAGGCAGCTCTTGCCTCTTGGCAACGCAAGCTGCTGGACGCGTAGGTGCAAACCGTCTGTCGCTTCTTCAGTGATAGAGCTTGTCCAAATCGTCTTTGAATTTGGTCTTTATCTGCTCCCTCTTCAGTTTAAGCGCCGCCGTCACCAGCCCGGACTCCGGCGTCCACGGTTCAGGCAACAGCACGATCTTTGCTGGAACCTCGAATTTCTCGAGCCTTCCTACTTTCGCGGCCTGCACAGTAGGATCATGACACCTTTCTAAAACTAAATAAAAATGGACTCTAATCCACCGTTGCAACATAAACAAAAACCTAGCATGACTAACATGTGGTTACAGTATGCTCCCACCATGGTAAAAAGATTTCAAGATTGTAGCTTGTACTAGGAAAGACAAACCAAAACACACCGCAATATCTGAAATGCAAAATTGTGCCTATGTAAACCAATGAGGTACTCTTCCTTTTGACGCAGCAACTATGCTAGTATAATTTTTAGTCGTGTATGTAAGACTCCGTCAGTTGAGTTGTCTAACCTTTGATATAGTGATTGCTGAACCTCCTTAATTGCTTGATCATTTTGGCAAAGCTCTTCAAAGCCTTTATAGTTTATCCCAGAATTTTGAGCCCACTTCTCCAAGGCCTGGTGTGCTGGAACAACCAGGGCAACACAATAATTATGAAATGGATCAGCATAGACCATGATGTTCTCCACATAATTGCTTGTTGCCAGAGCCGATTCAACCTGCAAAGAGAGACAGTAAATCACTCTTCAACAAAATATTCACAGTAGGAATTTAAAAAAAAAAAAAACAAACCTTGCCAAGAGACACATATTCTCCGTGCTGAAGCTTTACTATATCTTTTTTCCTGTCAATAATCTCAAGGCACCCATCAGGATGGAACTGACCAATATCACCAGTGTAGAACCAGCGTATGCCCCTCTCATCAATCTGTAGGTCACGTGAAATGGAAAAAAAGTGAATACTTAAGGCTATAATGTTCTGGACTTCTAGTAGAGTCTTACCTTGTATACTTCATTCGTCTTTGCTTCATTGTTGAAATAACCTTTTGTTATGCTGTGTCCAACAACCACGACCTCTCCTCTCGGCATCGGAGAATCAGAAATCCTATAACCACCTTCTTCCCACGAAACAAGCTACATTGGTTCGACAAAAAAAAGGAATTACAGATAACTAAGGCCTGGGCATGCTGGTAAGACAACAGAAAGTCTTTCAGGAAAATGGACGTGTTCAGTGTACACATTAGGGAATCAACATCAGATGAATGGTTGGGGGGCAAGTATTTAACAGGAAAGTTTAAGCATGCCATTGAAAAAAGTAAAATTCTAAGCTATGCGCGGTTGACCAAGTGCATCCAGAAAAGAGGTGCCAAGCATGACACCCCCAGATACGCCAATCAATCACTCATTGTTTTTAATGCAGGTTTCATCTGCTAACATCCGCCACATGAATATCAAGTATATTTGTTAACTACTATCCAGCAAACATCAAATTTGTAAACACAAACCTTGACATAGCAGCAAGGAAGCGGTGGACCAACACGACCCACACTTGTGTCATCCCATTCAGTGAAAGCTGCTCCAGCACAAGTTTCAGTCAATCCATAGCCTTGACCCACTGGGACACTGCAGCAACAATTAAGTAGCATATAAGGACAAGAAACATAGGAAACACCTTATCTTGTCAGGAAAATCATGGGTTACATATGCAATTGGATATAAATTCACTGATTAATATTCTTCAGTTTATCAGCTTTCAATTGGCAAGGATATTCAGAATAATAACTCAGATATTTAAGAATGAACTAAGCCAATTGATAATGACAGAAGAATCAGATAACATGGACCTGGACCCAATATGAGCATGTCACATGAAATTGGTAATTTGTGTACATTCAATGAGAACACTGGTCAAGGGCTTTTATAAGCAAACTATGATTGTAAATTCAGTCTAACAATCCTTAGTCAAATGCATAGGAATAAATTTACAGCTGCTACGAACCAAGATCACTCAGTAACTATGCTTAAGAGTTTCCTGTATAGCAACTAGTTACAGATTCTGAGCCTAGCGGCATATAGAATATCAACGATATACTCTTCCATAACTAAAAATCACATTATACCATTCATTCGATCAGCTGAGACAATACATTGTAATTTGAGATAAGCCGGGCAGAAGACATTACCCTAGACATATATTCATAAATCTTTGTGTGTCACTTGATAGAGGTGCACCACCACAAAGAACAAATCTTACACGTCCTCCAAGCATTGCCCGTATTGGTTTATAAATAATGTTATCCCATATCATCCTCTCTCCGGTGCCCAAGATCCAAACCAACTCCCTCAATTGCTGCAAGATTTCGCTTATATGCAAAATCAAACAGCTTTTTTGCCAGGCCACCCTTCTCACCAACCTGGAAAGAGAAATAGAAACGTTAGTTTTACAATGAAAAATAGTTGATTGCTTACTCATGATCCCATGTGATTAATGCCATTGAAGGCAGTTAATTATGTGTTATTGAAAATCATTGTGCAAATCTAATTCAAAGAAGCATGATGGTCTGTATGGTATGTGACCTTGTATAACTGGCCTGGAAACCCTACCACATGAAACAAAGGAACTCTCTTAACAGTGACCTCATGTTCTAGCCACAAAATTAAAGGTGTCACAAGATATGCCACAAGAGGGAGGTACTCAAAATCTAAAGCTTGCTCAAGTTATGTGACGCTTCTACCAATTCAGCATAGTTGTATCACAAAGAGCTGAGCACAAGGGGATGACTATACAGCACAAAGCACTCTACACTAGGTTATAATTACCATATACATAGAATATTGTAACGGTAACAATGCCAATCAATGACATTTGGTGGAAATACAAAATTCAGAAAATAAACTCACTTTCTTAAACACAGCATCTCTGATACGATCCAAAATTGCAGGAACTGAAATCATAAGAGTAGGATTCAGTACAGAAACATCTCCTTTTGTCCCCTTCTTAATCTTGTTTGATGTATCAGTCATAGTCAATGCTGAACCATATCCAATAGCAGTACCAGAAGCTAACATGACAGTCTGGATTGACAACAACATCATATCATTAAAGATAGCACAACTCTTGTAAAACTGCATGTATATGAATTATAATATATATCACCTCTGCTGCTAGTTCAAAGACATGAGCCAATGGAAGGTAAGCCAGATAAACATCATTCATGCCAAGGTTTGGGACTATTGTCATGACTGCTGCAGTTGTGGCCACAATGTTGCCATGTGTGATCATTACACCCTACATCAAAATGAATAAATAAATTACAGGAGAGAAAAACACCTGGTAAATCAATGATTTCAGCAATAAAAATCATAGGAAGAAACTAAACCCCTAACATGCTACAACATAACTAACTAGTCAACGTGGCATGATATACAACAACAACAACAACAACAAAGCCTTTAAGTCCCAAACAAGTTGGGGTAGGCTAGAGTTGAAACCCATCAGAAGCAATCAAGGTTCAGGCACGTGAATAGCTGTCTTCCAAGCACTCCTATCTAAGGCTAAGTCTTTGGGTATATTCCATCCTTTCAAGTCTCCTTTTATTGCCTCTACCCAAGTCAACTTCGGTCTTCCTCTGCCTCTCTTCACGTTACTATCCTGGCTTAGGATTCCACTACGCACCGGTGCCTCTAGCGGTCTCCGTTGCACATGTCCAAACCATCTCAACCGGTGTTGGAAAAGCTTTTCTTCAATTGGCGCTACCCCTAATCTATCACGTATATCATCGTTCCGAACTCGATCCCTTCTTGTATGACCGGGATCTTACGCATTTTAGATCTTACGCATTTTAGTGCACTTGCACCAGAGCTTGATATCTATGCATATTTTAGAAGCAATGTCAAGTGAAAGCTTTATCCACTATAAATTTTGCAGTGTCAGTTATTATCTATGCATTAGACAAAAAAAATGCTGCAACGAACATTAAGATGTGGCTCATTTGTCCCACATCACTCTTAATGGCCCAATTGGTCCTGACACTGTAGATTCTGTATCAAGCAAGGAAACTCATATATATCCAAGCAAATATTGGGACCAACTGTGGGTTTTGATTTTTTTATTGAGCACCAGTCGCCTTTTATCTTTTTTTTTTATGTTCATGCAAATTACAAGATTATGAATGCATAAGAAATTGCAAAAGCTTTGATCAACAGTATACCTTGGGAAGGTCAGTACTTCCGCTTGTATACATGATAACTGCAGTATCAGAGCTTGAAGGTAACCTTGCATCAACATGAGATGTCTTGCCTAGTTCCTCTACTTCAGTGAAAGACAATGTTGTCAGATGCTTCACTTGATTCAGTGTCTCAGCCTCAACAGGTTCATCCTCAATATAGATAATATGCTTAAGACTCTGCAATTTAGAGCTGATTGCAGGTATCTTCTTAAGTTGATTCGAATCACATATCAGAGTTGAAACCTGTGTCTGAAATTCGACAGAAGAGTATTTAAGATGTGTGAACAAATGAATTGCCGCTCATCGAATTCCTTCAATACTAACACTTGGGCACCAAATAATGTATACTGGTTAAGCACTTTCATATACGGCCATCAAGAACTTATAAACAGCTGGCATACAGGTTTTTTCTACAGGTATCAAGTTAAATGAAGAGTATAGACAAACGTAATTGCATAGTTCTCAACTGTATAGAGACAAAGGAAAAATGCCACAAAAAAAAAAAAAAAAAACGCTGTGTGCACCAAATCCACAGTACCTCGTTTAATGAATGCACCAATGCATCCTCACCAAGAGATGCATATATTGTTACAACAGTTAAATTTTGTCGGAAGCATCCCTGAAAAGAAAAAAAGATGATACTACAGTCAGAGAGCTTCACAAGTTCAAACAAATGTCCTGATACAATGGCATGCATGATACCATTACCTGAGCAGCAATGATCCACTCAGCTCTTGTATCAGAGAATATAGCAGCATGACTATCTAGGTCGTGGCCCATCTTGATAAGCCCAGAAGCAAAATTACATGCACGGTTAAATGCCTCAGCATAGGTATCCCATTCATATTCACCAAGGTGCAGTTTCTCAAACTTCCTACCGTCAGAAGATTCCACAAATTCCCTCTTAATTAGCTTCCTCATGCCAAGACACCTCCGTCGAGAGTACTTTTTGCTGGCCATCTCAAACAGAGCTGCCATTGTGGTGGCGCCCTCCCAAGGGACTTCAACTAAGGATGAAAACCTACTGTTCCGCATGGCAAATCCCTCCTCTCCACCCACATCAGCTCGCACCGCCCTTTGCTTTGTCTTCTTACCAAACATCATGGAAAGCAAGACAGGAGTAACTACAGCCAGAAGCAGGGCGATGACAACTCCATTGACACCATACTCTTTCAGCAGTGGTACGTCACTTGTAGCGATTCTTTTTAGAAAGGACATGTTGGAATTATCATCACTAACTTCTCCCATGGTTTTCCACTATATCTGGAGCATCAGACAGTAACTTGACAAATTTGACTGCATAAAAGTAATCACAGGGTTATGCGTGTTGGCATGTTATAACTTATAAAAGTAACAACTCTGATGGACTTGAATTTGTGCATAACAACATTGAGTGAGTGCAACATGGGTGATGATCCACGATGGGGGAATATTACCGTGGGTACCACACCACTAGGCAGCATAATGGAAAGGAAAAAAGGCATTATTCTAACTACTACAAAAATTTAACAAAATTAGGGTGTCATCAATGAGCTCAGCATCTGAGCAGACAGATTCAGAGTTAGCTCTATGTCAAAGCAAGAACCTTCCAAAGCTCAGTAATATAAAGGTGTGTTGCGCATGACGAACAGGACAGAGCAAAATGAGCTAGAAAACTGCAGCTTGCTTTACTTTAGGTGAAGCGATGAAGCTGCCCAGCGCATCATGATGGACAGGGAGTCACAACAACACAAGTACCACGGTTTTGATGGCGAGGATAGCAGTGAGACTAGAGGCACTTGTCGCATCAATAGACCTAATTTTTAACAGACTCAGAAATCATTTCAAGTTTCAACAGCGGTACGTCATTTGTAGCAATTCTTTTTAAAATTGACATGTCTGAACTCTGAATTATATCTGGAGCATTGACAGTAACTTTTTGACAAAATTTACTGCATACTAAAAAGTAACCACAGGGTTATGCGTGTTGGCATGTTATAAAAGTAACAACTCTGATGCACTTGAATCTGTAGATAAACATTGAGCGAGTGCAACATGGGTGATGATCCATGATGGGGAACTACTACCGTGGGGGGTACCAGTACCACGCCACTAGGCAGAATAACAGATTGGTAAAAGGGTGTTCTTGTAACCACAAAAATTAAGAAATGTTTAATATGGGTGGGTTCAATCTGCTCAGAATATGAGCAGCGATGGCTTAAGACTTGGCGCTAGGCCGCTAGCCAAAGCAAGAACCTTTTACTGAGACCAGGTGCAAGGAAGGTGGACTGGTGTGTAGAATCAGCCAGCCGCTGATGCACATGACAGGACGGCGTTAGAAAAATCCGTGCTTGCTTTACTTTATTACAAGTAGATAGAAGAAGCAACGAAGTTGACCAGGAGATGATGATGATGATAGGCAACGGGGTTCGTGAGGATAGACGGATATAGTATAGTAGTAGTAAGGTGGCGTTTGGATAGGGGTTGGGATAGGGATAGAGAAATATAGTGGGATAAGAAAGACATGGTATGGGTTAGGGATACAAGGTTTATATCCTTAACCAATGTTTGGATTGTTCATGAAGGGCAGGCCTGGTGCAGTGGTGAGAGCTGTCTCGTTGAGTCACTAGGTCACGGGTTCGAAGCAGCCTCTCCGCAGATTTTTGCGGAGGGAAGGCTTGCCTCGGTTTTTCCCTTCCCCATACCCCACTCATGTGGGAGCCTCCGGCACTGGGTCTGCCCTTTTAATGTTTGGATTATTCATGGTTTGGGTTAGGGATACATTGTGGGGCCCACTAAAATTAGAATATAAAATAACTATACATCTTCTCCCTCTTGGCCCATCTACAATCTTCTGGCCTCCGACTTGCTCCTCCCAGGCGTTAGCTTCTGCAGTTCTACTTTCTGCCTGGCGGCCGCACGAGACCAAAGTGAGCAGAGCGCGAGAGGAAGCAGCTCGAGTGCGTGGGAGGCAGCGGCTCGGGCGGCCCGCGGGTTTGCGGCAGCGGTGGGGCCGAGACGAGCGTCTGCTGCTCCGGCGGCGCGGCGCATCCGAGGCGAGCCGCTGCTGCTCCGGTGACGCGGCGCATCTGAGGCGAGCGGGTGCTACAGCAGCGCCACGGCACATGCGAGCGGCTTTGGCTTCGGCGGCCCGAGCGGCGACACCAGTAGCTCCCATTCGACGAGATGAGGAGCGCCTCCACCAAGTATGGCTGCTCTTCATCCTCCCACCCATCGAATTGAAGATGTCTGATAGCGCAACAGCTTCATTTCCCATTTGAAACCCACCCCTCCCATCGGGTTTAGATCACTGGGATATGACAGCTGTATTTCCCTATCCCTATCTGACCTCATTTCCCTTTCCTATTATCCAAACATGGGATAAAATCTATCCTCCCCCTCATTTCCCTAACCCACCCTCCATATCCAAGTATCCCAACGCCACCTAAGTAAAACAAGAGGCATTTAAATGAAACGAACAGACGTGGCCTCCGGCATGGATTTCTCCCAGGGAACATGCAATTTAACTGGACGCGGTGGATGGGGGCTCCAGTGGCAGAGCATAGCGCGGTTGACAGGTAAACGAGGGGCATGTGAGGCCGCGGAGGCGTGGCACTTGCTGGTGCACTGTGTGTGATGCGCGGCAGCAGAGCAGCATGCCAACGCCGCAAGAGGAAGAAATATTTTTTTTTTGAGGAAACAAGAAAAAAATATATTACGTATTAATTAAGAAACTACTCGAGGGGGTTGGAGGCAGCAGCAGAGGACCCTGCCGGCCCCGGTCCCGGAAGAGCGTGAAGACGCTGGGTTAGTGCTGCAGGTGCTGTGAGGCCGCTCGCTGGGGACGGCGGAAACGGACGGGGCTCTCTCACCTCTCTCACTCACTCCCACGTAGGGGGTTGGGGAAGAAACTACCAAAGCAGAAGACGCCGCGGAACAGGAGGAGCAAAAAGGCCGCGGGATCCCTTACCGGGAGGTGGTGGGGAGCAGCGAAAATGGCTCCGGCTGCTCCGTGACGACGCCTCGTGGTCTCTGTTGTGTTGTCCGACTCGGCTCTGCAGGCGGATTGGACCAGATCAGCGCAGAGGTGGGGAAGCAGGAGGGGGGTGGGGAGGGGAGGGGAAGGACCGGAGGGGCGGATCATCGCCTCACCTGCGCCGCGCCGAGGGGGAGGGGGGTCGATCGGTCGGGTCAGGGGCCGTTGGCCGGATCTGCGGTGGCGACGACGTGAGGAGCCGTGAGGGGGTGTGGTGTGGGGCTCCGCTCCGCTTCGAATCCCGCAGGAAGAAGATGCTTGGAAACGGTGGTGCTCGCGTCGGTAGTGCGATTGCTTCTTGTTATCGTGTGGTCACCGTGGGGTGGGCCCTCCCCCTCACTCATGTGCCCACGTGTCGTATCGTGCGGGGCAGGGCAACTGGAAGGCCTAGATCGCAAGTTTTTTAATTTCCGTCATATCAAATTTTTGAACATATACATAGAGTATTAAATGTAGAAGCGTCTAGCCGCCTTGCAGGTACGGAGTATACGTAGATCGGAAATGTGGGCCCGCGTTGACTGTGTGTGCCCGACACGTGGTCCCAGGAATAAATATAACGCCTGCCACTGAAAAGGGCCTCGATCTACTTTTACAGCTAGGCAGATCCATATTCGCGCTGTTCACTGGCTTTACTTTTAGATAATAAATCAGTCAATAATATTTTAGCGGTCCTAGCGTCAGTACCGAAATTTGTGTGGATGGATGGGAGTTCAATTGGATGCTTAACTGATAGATTAGAGACTTTATGCCATTTGAATTTACTTCCCGTATAATCTTAACCTATAATAATAGAAAAAATATAACTTGGTGGCGGATTGTTTGGCCACTCCTGGAACAAGCGTTCTGTGTCAAGCCCCTGACTTTCAGACTGTTCGTTTAGTCGTATTTGACTTATAAGTCATGGCTTATGAGTCAACGAATAGTGTTTTTCTCTCACATCAAACCAGCCAACAATACTTTCAGCTATGGCTTATAAGCCAAACAAGCCCAAATGAACAGAGCGTTTATAAGTAAACTCTTGTTTGACGATTTTGCTTGGTTCTAATGTTTAATGGAATTGAGTATAACTCAATTTGACTCGCGTTCGGTCAAAATGAAGATGGTTTGACTCTCCAATATATCTATGGAGGGAGTATTTCACAAAAGCCACATGGCAGTGAGGTTACGTGGTGTTGTCATCCCTTATGCAGTTCGGCAACCTGTTTTGCCAACTAGGGATGAAAGTTGACACAAAACTATCAAAAAAGACTTATTAATTATTTCTATTAATGTATTTAATCAACGAAAATAAAGAAGGGGACCCGTATAGTTGAAAATGGGAATGAAAACGACATATACTAGATATGTCAAAAATGAGAACGGGACAAGGATAGCTGGAAACGGAGATGCAAATGGAATACGTGCGAATATGAAAACGAACAAATATGGATGGAAACCCAAATCTTACCCGACATAGTTTAGTGTGCGTATTTGACATGTGAGGAGGCTTGTTGTAAGGCGCGTTCGGTAGAGATTCAGATCTCACATAAACGTTCAAATCTAGATTCTTTCAAGAAACATTTCTGATGATGAATCGGAATCACCTTATCATATTGTTTGGTTGGTAGACTTGATTTAGATTTCTAAAATTTGTTTCATAAAAAATTATATAAATTAAAATATTCTTTAAAAAATATCAGGATTTTTTTTAGGCGAAGACCAACTTAAATACAACATTTTAACTTGTTGCACTAAAAAATAACTAACTAAAAAAGGTACGATCACTATTGCAGAAAGAGGGACCAGAAACCGAATAGGGAGAAACCACCCTACAACTTTCTCGGAATCTAGTGAAGAAACCGCGAAACGTTTTGACTGTGGATCACTAGATAAAAGTTTTGTTTGGCACCTGTCAGTGTTTTGTCACCCAATGAGTGAATTTATAGTTGTGCCGTGTTGCTCTAGAAAGACGATGGTAGCATCCAAAGACACAAGGGATTATACTGGTTCAGGCCGGAGCCCTACGTCCAGTCTCAAAGAAGATCGAGTGCGTATTCTTCGATCAAATACTCTGAAGTTCTTACAACGAGGGGGTAAGATGAGGGAAAGAGGTAGGAGCATAGTTATTAGGACCGGACCGACGGTTGAACCACTAAAAGACCGAATCAGAGCCTAAACCAGTCTAGTTCACTTAAAAGATCGTCTGTACAATCGAACCGGTAAAACAGGTTCAACCGGCCGGTTTTTTTTTTGA